TCATCATAAATCTTGGCCAAATTTTATTCCGTTATCTTTTTAGTAAAAAAGAAAAAATCCAAATTAGTTTATAACCAAAAATTATAATTTTTAAACATTTTTTTTTTTTTACATTTGTATATTTATTATTTTTTTTTTTACATACTGTCACCCTAGCAGTACAGTGTCACCATGGTGACACTGTACTACTTGTGGGGGGTGATTAAGATTTTTTTTTTTTTTTTACACTGATTGCTTTTACACCCATATAGGATGTAAAAGCAATCATTTCTCTTTCTCTCTGTCTGCATTCTTGCAGTCATTGAGAAGTACTAAGTAAGCTGTGATTGGTCACAGCTTGTCACATGGTACAAGGCTGTTGTGAATAGCCTTGTACCATGTGACCTCTTTGATCATTCACATATTTCACACGTAGTAAGCAATGTCACAAGTGACATCTTGCTTACTACTTTGCATGTGATCACCGATTAGCCAATCAGTGATCACATGATAGGGACCTCTTACAGAGGTCCCATCCGACGATCGGTGTTTCACTGTGTCCGGAGGACACAGCGGGCACCGGATCGCGGGGAGGCCGTTTATAAATGGCCACCCGACCCTGCAGTGCCACCGTCCGGCCGTTTATATGCAACGGCCGGTTGGGAAGTGGTTAAGTGGGAAAGAGAGGGGGGATATTTTTGCAGATTTTTACAGTTCTGCCAAATAATATTTATATATAAAAAGACACTTACCCATTGGCATTGGGCTTGTTGCAGCCATCACACCTGAAACAAGAACAAATGAATAAATCAGTAATGGCTGTATATTCTGTGAGAGATGGGGTCTGAGCAGACACTGGCCTGTTTCTTCCATTCTGTATTAGGGAGAACCTGTCACCATTTACCTTTAAACAATATGGTTTGTATTCACATCTGCAATTTGTCCTCTTTTAGATGGTCACCGACACCGGTGCTGGGGATCATTATTGTGATCACTGGTGCCAATGCTTGGGGGGGGTCGTCATTGAGCTCACCGGCACCAATGCTGGGGGGCAATCATTGAGCTTGGCACCAATGCTGGGGGTCATTGGACTCCAGCTTCTTCAGTGTGCATTGTTATGCAGCAGGTGTGACATTTGCAGGTTGGCGCTCCCTATCCATAGGGTCACACAGCTATGAAGAGGACCCCTAACAGGATTCCAGCAGCAATAAAGTCATTTAGATGCCGGGAGGGATAGAAGGAACTTTCCTAAGTTAAGAATATAGACTGGATTTTTAGAGTTTAGTGTTCCCTACCTGAGAAGGCTGGGAGATCTGCACATAGCTGGACACCACAAAGGGGCACCAAACACAGGGGGGCACACGGGCCTGCCCACAGAGAAATATAGGGGGGCATAAGAGGCCTTGCCCACAGAGGATCACGGTGGGGCCACAAGGGCCCTGCCCACAGGAGAACACGGGGGGCGGCCCACAAAGGCCTTGCCCACAGGAGAACGTGGGGAGGGGGGGCCCCACAAAGGCCTTGCCCACAGGAGAAACACGGAGAGGGGGGGGGCCCCACAAAGGCCTTGCCCACAGGAGAACAGGAGAGGGGGGGCCCCACAAGGGCCTTGCCCACAGGAGAAACACGGGGCCACAACTGTAAGCAGTATATAAAATAAATATTGTGCCCCCCCTCCCTCATATGATACCTCGGGGACAATATGCCCCCCCCCCCCACCTCCGGACTTATCATATACGCCTCCAGACAATGGTGCCCCCCCCCTTATCATATACGCCTCCAGACAATGGTGCCCCCCCTTTTATACGCCTCCGGACAATGGTGCCCCCCCCTTCTTATCATATACGCCTCCGGACAATGGTGCCCCCCCCCCCTTTTTTATACGCCTCCGGACAATGGTGCCCCCCCCTTATCATATACGCCTCCGGACAATGGTGCCCCCCCCCTTATCATATACGCCTCCGGACAATGGTGCCCCCCCCCCCTTATCATATACGCCTCCGGACAATGGTGCCCCCCCCTTATCATATACGCCTCCGGACAATGGTGCCCCCCCCCCCTTTATCATATACGCCTCCGGACAATGGTGCCCCCCCCCCCTTATCATATACGCCTCCGGACAATGGTGCCCCCCCCCCTTATCATATACTCCTCCCCCCCCCCCCTTATCATATACGGGCCTCCGGACAATGGTGCCCCCCCCTTTTATACGCCTCCGGACAATGGTGCCCCCCCCCCTTATCATATACGCCTCCGGACAATGGTGCCCCCCCCCCTTATCATATACGCCTCCGGACAATGGTGCCCCCCCCCTTATCATTACGCCTCCGGACAATGGTGCCCCCCCCTTATCATATACGCCTCCGGACAATGGTGCCCCCCCCTAATCCCCCCCCCCCTTTTATACGCCTCCGGACAATGGTGCCCCCCCCTTTTCATATACGCCTCCGGACAATGGTGCCCCCCCCTTCTTATCATATACGCCTCCGGACAATGGTGCCCCCCCCCTCATTATACGCCTCGGACAATGGTGCCCCCCCCCTTATCATATACGCCTCCGGACAATGGGTGCCCCCCCCCCCTTTTATACGCCTCCGGACAATGGTGCCCCCCCCCTTTTATACGCCTCCGGACAATGGTGCCCCCCCCCCTTTTATACGCCTCCGGACAATGGTGCCCCCCCCCTTTTGTACGCCTCCGGACAATGGTGCCCCCCCCCTTTTGTACGCCTCCGGACAATGGTGCCCCCCCCTTTTGTACGCCTCCGGACAATGGTGCCCCCCCCCTTTTGTACGCCTCCGGACAATGGTGCCCCCCCCTTTTGTACGCCTCCGGACAATGGTGCCCCCCCCCCTTTTGTACGCCTCCGGACAATGGCCCCCCCCCCCCCCTTTTCTACGCCTCCGGACAATGGTGCCCCCCCCCTTTTCAATGTACGCCTCCGGACAATGGTGCCCCCCCCCCTTTTCTACGCCTCCGGACAATGGGTACGCCTCCGGACAATGGTGCCCCCCCCCTTATCTTGTACGCCTCCGGACAATGGTGCCCCCCCCCCCTTTGTATACGCCTCCGGACAATGGTGCCCCCCCCCCCCTTTGTACGCCTCCGGACAATGGTGCCCCCCCCCCCCAATTTGGCCTCCGGACAATGGTGCCCCCCCCCCTTTCAATGTACGCCTCCGGACAATGGTGCCCCCCCCCCCTTATCATATACGCCTCCGGACAATGGTGCCCCCCCCCTACGCCTCCGGACAATGGTGTGCCCCCCCCCCCCTTTTCATACGCCTCCGGACAATGGTGCCCCCCCCTTCATGTACGCCTCCGGACAATGGTGCCCCCCCCCTTTCATGTACGCCTCCGGACAATGGTGACAATGGTGCCCCCCCCCCCCCTTATCATATACGCCTCCGGACAATGGTGCCCCCCCCCTTATACGCCTCCGGACAATGTGCCCCCCCCCCTTTGGTTATATGCCTCCGGACAATGGTGCCGCCCCCCCCTTTTGTACGCCTCCGGACAATGGTGCCCCCCCCCTTATTATGTACGCCTCCGGACAATGGTGCCCCCCCCCCTTTTTGTATCATGGTTGCCCCCCCCCTTTTACTACAGCGACTCCGTACGCCTCCGGACAATGGTGCCCCCCCCTTTTGTACGGCCTCCGGACAATGGTGGGGGATCATGTACGCCTCCGGACAATGGTGCCCCCCCCCTTTCATGTACGCCTCCGGACAATGGTGCCCCCCCCCTTATGTACAACCTCCGGACAATGGTGCCCCCCCCCTTATCATGTACGCCTCCGGACAATGGTGCCCCCCCCCCCCTTATCATGTACGCCTCCGGACAATGGTGCCCCCCCCCTATCAATGTACGCCTCCGGACAATGGTGCCCCCCCCCCTTATGTACACCTCCGGACAATGTGTGTACCCTCCCGGACCCCCCCTTATGTCATGGTACGGGGTACCCCTCCGGACAATGGTGCCCCCCCCCCCTTATATGTACACCTCCGGACAATGGTGCCCCCCCCCCCTTATGTACACCTCCGGACAATGGTGCCCCCCCCTTATCATGTAACGCCTCCGGACAATGGTGCCCCCCTTATATATACCTCCGGACAATGGTGCCCCCCCCCCCTTATATACACCTCCGGACAATGGTGCCCCCCCCCTTATATACACCTCCGGACAATGGTTGCCCCCCCCCTCTCATATATACCTCCGGACAATGGTGCCCCCCCCCTTATATATATACCTCCGGACAATGGTGCCCTCTCCCTCGTATATAGGACAGGGGCGCCCCCTCACACTCGTATATAGGACAGGGGCGCCCCCTCACACTCGTATATAGGACACTCGGGGCGCCCCCTCACCTCACACTCACACTCGTATATAGGACAGGGGCGCCCCCTCACACTCGTATATAGGACAGGGGGACACTCGTATATAGGACAAGGGGTGCGCCCCCTCACCCTCGTATATAGGACAGGGGCACCCCCTCACACTCACATACATGATATGGAGGCCGGCGTATCCCCTCACACTCACATACATGATATGAGGCCGGAGTATCCCCTCACACTCACATACATGATATGAGGCCGGAGTACCCCCCTCACACTCACACACATGATATGAGGCCGGAGTATCCCCTCACTCACACTCACACACATGATATGAGGCCGGAGAATCCACTCACATACATGATATGAGGCTGGAGTATCCCCTCACACTCACATACATGATATGAGGCCGGAGTATCCCCTCACACTCACATACATGATATGAGGCCGGAGTATCCCCTCACACTCACATACATGATATGAGGCCGGAGTACCCCCTCACACTCACCTTCCCTCCAGCACAGCACTCTCTCTCTCCCTCCTCTGACCGAATTTAAACTCGGCCACTCCCGCTCAGCCTGGAGGACGGGGAGCCGGAGAGGACAAAATAGCGTGCAGGGGCGGAGCGACATCAGCGTTAGTCCCCGCCCCTGTCCCGGGGAAGGAGCCCAGCCCGGCTGGAAAGATGGCGGCGCCCGGTGAGCAGGTGGCTGCCGGGGATTTTGGCTCCTGGCTGGACTGCCGGCTGGAGGCGCTGGGCATGGACCCGGAGGTGTACCCCGCCTACATCCAGGGGGTGCTGAGGGAGGAGGACAACCCGGAGGAGAGGGACGAGGCGCTCAGGGGGATCCTGGCTGCCTTCTTGGTAAGACGGGGGAGGACTACAGAGCCCAGCGTGTCCAGGTCATCCCTGGGAGGGGGTGTTCTACTAAAGAGGACCTGTCAGGATGGGAATTTGTCCTTGTCCCAGGTTCCTCCTGGTCTGTAGTGTTCAGTAGTTAATCCACTGGGGGTAAGCATGCAGCCAGTGAAGTCTATAGAGTCCAATCTAGCAAGCTTGTTTCAGTGTAGATGGGTGACCTCTGAGCCTGCCTCTGTGGGGCCCATTCACTCCTTCCCTGTGCAGTGCATTGTGGGATTGTATGCGTCAGTACGCCATTTACGGTGTCCCAATGCATCGATGATGCCCCCTACATTGCAGCACGTGGTAAACCACCACCCTGCATCATGGTGTCCAGGGTTGGGGGAGGGGGGCGGGCATGTGTGCTTGATGATATATATCTAATTTTTTTTTATTATTTACAGCCCACATTAATGCAGACCCCCCCTTAATAAACTGCTAATGCTAGATTAATATACAGTTAGGTCCATATATATATATTTGGACACAGGAACAATGTTAGATTTTTTTCAGATATTTACCAAAACATATTCAAGCAATAGTTCTATAATGGATACGGGCTAAAAGTGCACACTCTCAGGTTTAATTTGAGGGTATATACATCCAAATTGGAGGAAGGGTTAAAGAATTGCAGCTCTTAAGAGTAGCCACCCCCCCTTGCCAAAAGTAATTGGACAATTGAATCAAAAGCTGTTTCATGGCCAGGTGTGGGCTACTCCTTCATTTCTTCATCAATTAAGCAGGTAAAAGGTCTGGAGTTGATTCTAAGATTCAAATCCATCATAGAGATAGCAGAAAAATTAGGCGTGGCCAAATCAACAGTTTGGTATATTGTGAGGAAAGACGAATGCACTGGTGAGCTTAGAAACATAAAAAGGCATGGATGTCCATGGAAGACAACAGTGGTGGATGATCGCAGGATCCTCTCTATGGTAAAGAAAAACCCATTCACAACATCCAGACAAGTGAAGGACACTCTCCAGGAGGTGGACGTATCATTGTCAAAGTCTACAATCAAGAGAAGACTTCACGAGAGCAAATACAGAGGGTTCACCACAAGGTGCAAATCATTCGTAAGCCTGAAGAATAGAAAAAACCAGATTAGACTGCCCAAAAAAAAATCTAAAAAATCCAGACCAGTTATGGAAAAGCATTCTTTGGACGGATGAAACTAAGATTAATCTGTACCAGAATGACGGGAAGAAAAGTGTGGAGAAGGCTTGGAACAGCTCATGATCCAACGCACACAACGTCATCTGTAAAACATGGTGGAGGCAGTGTGATGGCATGGGCATGCATGGCTTCCAGAGGGTCAAGGTTCCACTGTCCATGGGCACAGGGGCCAACAGAGGGCCAACGTTCCACTGACCATGGGCACAGAGGAGCAATGCCTCACTGACCACGGGCACAGAGGGCCAATGTTCCACTGACCAGGGCCAATGTTCCACTGACCATGGGCACAAAGTGGCAATGTGCCACTGACCATGGGCACCGTCCCACTGACCACAGAGGGCCAATGTTTCACTGACCATGGGCACAGAGGGCCAATGTTTTACTGACCATGGGCACAGAGGGCCAATGTTTCACTGACCAGGGGGTTTTACTGACCATGGGCACAGAGGGGCAATGTTTTACTGACCATGGGCACAGAGGGGCAATGTTTTACTGACATGGGCACAGAGGGGCAATGTTTTACTGACCATAGAGGGGCAATGTTCCTAATGCTGCAGATTTAAATGCCAGGGAGACAGCACAACATTAAAAGAATGTCAGTCTCAGTTAAATATGTATAAAAACTTGCAGGTAGTGCAGCAATTCGGCGTTCTTGTTTGTAGAAGCTTGCTGCTGTAGCAGATCCACTGCTGGCTGACCACGCTGGCTGAAGGCACGCTGAAAGCTCCGACAAGTGGCTAGGGAGGTAGTTGTGGCTTGTGACGTCAGCAGCTCATATGCGTGGGACCCGATGCTCGGCTGTAGGGCAGTAGTGGGGCGACTTGGCTCGCGTGCCAGAAGTGCGTTCCTGCTGCAGCATGCGTGTCATAGGTTCGCCACCATGGGGGTGGACTAATACCCCCGCTTTAACCAGTACAAATATATAAACCACTAGATTAATAGCAAAAAAATTATAAAAACAGAATGATTCACTTGCTCCAGGTGTAAAAAAAAACAATGTTGATTGATAAACAAATGTACTAAAACATGGTGTGTTGTGTGTGTTGTTTTTTGTTTTTTGTTGGTGATAGGAGGAAGATTCTATAGAAGATGTTTGTCTGGAAATTATTGCTAAGTGGAGTGAAGCACAGAAAATGGCATTGGCACAGGCAAAGCAAGAAGGTAACACTCTTGCTGTGGTTTTTTGTTTTTCCCTCCCTATAGGTTTGTTACAATTGAGTCAGTTCACAAAGGATATCACACGTGAGATTTTGGGTCATGTGACACATTTAACCCATATAACTCTTTCAGTGTTACCTATAACGCTACCACCTCCCCCTCTCTGTTGGGGTCCCTCAAGGCTCTGTCCTTGGGCCCCTTCTCTTCTCCATCTACACCTCCTCCCTTGGCCAACTGATACACTCCCCACGGCTTCAACTACCACCTCTATGCCGACGACACACAAATCTATCTCTCAACCCCCCACCTCACCCCCTCGGTCTCCGCCCGAATCACACACCTACTGAGCGACATATCAAACTGGATGTCGCTCCACTTCCTTAAACTGAACCTTTCCAAAACCGAGCTCCTAGTCTTCCCCCCAACCTGCACACCACCCCCCACTGACTTCTCCATCACGTCCAACAACGCCACCATCAAACCCACCCCGCAGGCCAGAGTACTTGGTGTCATTCTGGACTCCAACCTATCCTTCCAGCCCCAAGTCCAATCATTCACTAACTCATGCAGACTCCACCTCCGCAACATCGCCAAAATCTGCAAGTTCCTAACCCCAGAAACCACTAAACAGCTCATCTACTCCCTCATCATATCACGACTTGACTACTGCAACTCCCTCCTCACTGGCCTGCCTCGCCGCTGGCTATCCCCGCTTCAGTCCATCCTGAATACGGCTGCCAGACTCATTCACCTTTCCAACCGCTCCGTTTCCGTCACCCCCCCCTGCCAATCCCTCCACTGGCTTCCGATTGCACAACGGATCAAATTCAAAATCCTAACACTGATGTACAAAGCTGTCCACCATACTGCCCCGAACTACATCACCGACCTAATATCCAAGTACCACCCAACACGCACACTCCGCTCCTCACAAGACCTCCTTCTCTCTCTCTAGTTCCCTGGTCTCCTCCTCCCATGCCCGCCTCCAGGACTTCTCCAGGGTGTCACCCATCCTCTGGAACTCCCTGCCCCAACCAATCAGATTATCACCTACTCTCCTCTCCTTTAGGCGCACCCTGAAAACCCATCTCTTCAGGGAAGCCTACCCCACCCCCCGCTAACTTGCCGATCTCCTCCACTCTTCCTACCACTCCATCCCCCACAGCTATCTCCTCCTGTGCCACTATCCCCTCCCTCCTAGATTGTAAGCTCCAAGGAGCAGGGCCCTCGATCCCCTCATGTTTTGCATTGTATTGGTATTGTTCTCTCACATGTTCTGTCTCCCCCCTGTAATGTACAGCGCTGAGCGAACTGTTGGCGCTTTATAAATACTGTATAATAATAATATAACACGCGATATGGAAAATGTCAATTTGCTGCAAGTTTATAAAATGCTGCATAAACGTGTCTGAAAGTCGATTCACCAAAAAAGTAAACATTTTGTTAACTAAGAAGTGGACTATTGAAGCGCTGTTTAACAAATGCATTAAATTGTCTGGTTGTCATTGAGCCGGCACTTTCTGGCATCCTTAACCACTGAATAGCTGGTTGTTAAGGAGCCAGCACCTGCCAGTTTCCTAAGAACCGGTGGAAAATCACCAGCCGGGACCTGGTGATCGACAGTTGAAGTTGCCAATGGCAGCGCAGGTAGGACGTGCGCACTCCCCCTATCCGGAAATGCTAAATCACGTGTGTATATATACAAGATTTTGCGCACCTGTGCCACCCTGTAGCAGTATATCTGCTATAGGGTGGCAGGGAAGCGGGTTAAATACCACAAAATAAAGAAGTAATGGTATTTAAATGGAGAACTCCATCCAAAAGGGGAAGTTCCACTTTAAGGCCTCATCCCGTGCTCCCCGTTAAGGATTGGCACCTTTTGGGGAGCTAGTACCTGATTTTGACAGATACCCTGCTCCCACTTCTGCTGTGATCAGAAGCAGAAGTGCTAACACCACACCAACCCCCCCTCAAAGGCACACTTCTTAATACACAGATAAAATATTAAAATGGAGCTTACCTATCTACTGGTGCAGTAATCCAGTGTGAAACTTTGCCTCTATGGAGGAGCTTCCTGTAGTTAAGACCGGTCACTGCTGTTCTCTCCTTGTGCAGGGTGACTGGTCTATTTTGCGCCCCCTCCTGTAGTGGTGGAGCCTGATGGACCCCTCTCATAGCTCTCCTCTCAGCACAGGCGATGTACAGCTTGGTGATGGTGTTGCAGCTACATTTACAATGTAATACCTGGGTTTTTTACAGGCTTTTGATGCACACAAAGTAACTAACTGTATAACCTGTGGCCATTGAGGAATATATGGAAATGTTTTTGCGCCGAGTTCCGCTGAAATGATGGATTAATGAATACCAAGCGACATTAATTTGTGTATTATTTCTACTTGGAGTTCAGCTGTAATGACAAAGATTTTGTCTTTTCCTCTAGATGAGGTGGAAGCTCTTGCCAGCATGATAGAGAAGCAGGCACAGATTGTGGTCAAGCCCAAAGAGGTGTCAGAGGGGGAGCAGCAAAGAAAAGCCGCCCTGCTGGCCCAGTACGCCAATGTGACCGATGACGAGGAATATCCTTTACGTTTATGGTTTGTGTAATTGGTGATTTGTATAGTACTGCTTGGACCTTGAAGAAGGGGACACTCCCCTAAAGCTTGTCCTCAAAATTGTATGTTAGTGCAAATAAAAAAAGTATCATGGACAGTACTCAATTGTAATTGCCAGGAACTGGTATTATTCTTTTACCTCCATCGCTGTATGGCACTGGGGAAGGGGGGTCCCACACATGCTTGCTGCAGCCGACTGGCAGATGGAAGCGACCCAATAGCTTCCCCACACCCCTGTAAGTGCCAGTGCAATCTGCACTCTATTAACTTCATTGGACCCCTAATGGCTCATTAAAGAGAACTTGTCACAAAAAAAAAATCATCAGAAGGGACTTTTTGTCCCCTATGTGACGAAGTTTAGTGGGAAAAAAATAAAAAAAAAACACTTAAAATAAAGTTACACCCAAGTATGCAAACCCCCCCCCCCCCCCCCCCCCTCTCCACATACACGCAAGTACAAATATAAATGCATGCACTGAGGGTGCCAATGCAAATAAAAATTGATTGCGATACACGTCACATGTCGCAGCACATGCTGGAGTGAGAGCAGTGATTCTAGACCCATTACTCATGGCTAACTCTGAACTTATGACCTGTAGGGGCGTTTAAAAGCTTTGCCTTTTAAAAACTGTAGGGTATTGAACTTTGTCTCTGGTTCACGGGCGCACATCATTTTAAGCCTTGACATTTTGGGTATTTGGCACAACCTCTTCTATATTTCTATAGTCCTCCACAAATTCATCAATGCAATGAACCGCATATATTGTGTATAAAGCGGGATTCCCTGCTCACAGCAGAATTAAAACAAAATTCAGGTCCTTTGGTCTGGTATGGAATTTAATGGGAACCCCACGCTAGAAAATGGCGCCCCCCCAAAAAAAAAAAAAATCTATATCAGACCCTTATCCAAGAATGCTGCCTGGCAGGCCAGAAAAGGGGAGGTGACACATGCCTTTAACATGGCAAAACATTTTGTCCTCATGTTGATGGTGGGGAAGAGGCCTCATGTTGATGAGGCCTCTTCCGCACCACCCTGGCCCAGTGGTTGTGAAGGTGCGAAGGGTAGCTTTTTGGAATCTGAAAGACCCCTTTAAGAAAAGGGCGTTCAAACCCCCCCCCCCCCCCAATGTGAGTATGGGGTACATGGTAGCCCTACTCAGTCACCAAAAAAAGTCAATCGTAAATAAACAAGAGTTTTTATAAGAAAAAAAATGGCGCAATAAAACACCCCCCCCCCCCCTCCTTAATGTAAATATCATCACCCACAATCTATGGTGGCTGCCCACCCACAGGGAAAAAAAACCTGACAAACACGACCACACCTGTTGCTTGACTCTTGGTGAATGACAGTTGCTAAGTAAATAAGGGAGTGCGGTTACTCCGTGAAGTCACTGAGTGACCCCACCCCCATGATGGCACTTGGAGAACCCGCCCCATGACGCAATAGGGGCAGGGTCATCCAGCTTCATCGCCTATAATGACACGCGCTGCCCCGTGAGACCCTGCGCTTTGACATCATAGGGGGCAGGGTGCCGGCTCCTTAATAACCGATAGCTCATCCCTGCAGTGGATAGCAGGAATGAGTAGCAGTAGTAAAAAAAATCACATTAAAAACGTATCCAAATTGCATTGAAAATCAGACTAAAATCGCACTGCACTATTGTGAACCTAGCCTAAATCCTGTGCAGTACGTATTATCAGCCCTGCCTAGATCTGTTCTGACTACAGAATACCTCCCCTCTGGCCATCCTCAAATCATATGGGAGAGGTGTTCTGTAGTCCAGGGCAGGGCCCATAACGCTGGTTGAGATTTCAGTGCAGAGAAATGGTCTTCAGCTCCAAGAAATGAGAAGTACTCTGGATTTCTGGCAGATCAATGGGCATTTTTCTGTGTTTTCAGTGCTTTTAGAGGCAATACATAGGGAAGTGCAGATATGTATTCAGCGTGGTGTTCAGGGGCGGACTGACAACTCATGGGGTCCCCGGGCAATAGGGGATTATGGGGCCCGTGTCCTTGCCCAAACTCAAAAAAGCTTATGAAAAAGGTACCAGGGGCATCTCATGGGGCCCCCAACTGACCCCGGGCCCTCGGGCAGTGCCCGAGTTTCCAAATGGTCAGTCCGCCCATGGTGGTGTTTGTTTTTCCCCTTAAATACACTTGATTCGCACTATCATTCTAATACAAGTTTTTTCAGACTTGATTTCCTTAATTATGGTTACTGAAAATGAGGTTGAAGAAGTGACTAGTTCCGTGGGAGCCCAGAACTCTGAAAAATGTATCCTTTCTGTTCCAGAAATGACTTGGAAATACATCGGCGAGCATTTTAGTTTGATCAACCTTGTACATGTTTTTAAGAAGCATATTCACTAAAATGGCCAAATCCATTGAAAAGACCCTTAGTGCCTATTATGTATTCTTTTACAAAGTAGAAGGCAAATGCTGCATTTATCACATGATGAAAGTTTATTATTAGAAGTCTCAGGCTGGAGGTCTAACCTAATCTTCCATAGCTTGTCTCCTTTAAGCCCCGGTTCACATGTGTGCGGGCCGTGTTTTTGCACGAACACGAGCCCATTCATTTGAATGGACTCCCGTGCTCCGTGGCATGCAGGGAAGAAGTCCCTGTGCTTCTTCTGAAAACGCAGCCCGCACAGGAACCTCGGTTCCCAGTATGGTTGTGATTTCCTGTGTGGGCGGCGTGCCATTAGAATTAATGGCACCCGCCTGCGGGTCCACATTTCTCTGTGCGGCTGCATGGATTTTCATGCGGATCCGCAGCGGCACCATCTGCACAAATGTGAACCAAGCCTAGGTTTTTAGGTTGCAATGGTAACATTAGCCAAGTTTAGTATTTTTTTAATTATTTCAGGTACTTATATAGCGCCGTCAATTTATGCAGTGCTTTACATACATATTGTACATTCACATCAGTCCCTAACCCTCATGGGGCGTACAATCTTAAGTCCCTAACGTACATTCATACATGCACATACTAGGGCCAATTTAGACAGGAGCCAATTAACCTACCTGCTTGTCTTTGGAGTGTGGGAGGAAACTGGAGGACCCGGAGGAAACACACGCAGGCACAGGGAGAACATGCAAACTCCAGGCAGGTGGTGCTGTGGTTGGGATTTGAACCGACGACCCTAGTACTGCCATGTGGAAGTGCTAACCATTTAGCCACTTGGCATTTGTGAGAAGCTCCTGAGTGGAAGTCCGAGGGAAAATGATGGGATGATGCTCTTGCCTTGCTTCTCGTTTGTCCCTCCATCTCAGTGCTCTGAGAAGTCCACAGAGGCAGACAGAAGAGCTACAGTTTCCACGTCTGTATCCTCTACAACTTGTTTACATAGGCATTTTGCTTGCATCAGAGGCATTTTTTTTTTCTCCAAATTAGTTCAAGTGAACGCAAAAGCAGTTTAAAAGGAAGTGTCAGCAGCACCTGTGAAGGATCTTGTTTGCAAGCTGAATGCACCTGAAACCATGCTGCGTTTGTCCATCTACTCAACCCCCTATTCTGCCATAGTAACCTGCATGCGTGTTACATGTGACTAAGGCTGCTTCCACACTGATCTGTCTTTCTTCTGTGTTAAAAAAAAAAAAAAAGCAGAAAAATGTGTGACCATGTTTTCCTATGCAGCCCTTGACACTGATCCGTTGCGGGTCAGGTGCGTTTTTAAAAATCCTGCTTGCTGCATTTAAAAAAAAAAAAAAAACGGCTCCCTATTTGAAATCAACGGAAAACGCACCCCCATTACTTTTGAGTCACTTGTCTTGCTAAAAACACACTGCAGAAATGCATATGCCTTTTGCCGGGGATCAATATGAAAGTAGCCTTAGAAAGTGATTTATTTTTTTTTTTTTCCAAAAAAGTATTTATTGAGGTAAAAGGCATATCAGGTCATATACAGATATGGAGCACAGTCCGCGTATATACATCTGGCCTATTCTCCCGTTACGCAGACGGGTAATCAGATAATAATTTGAAATGTGAATCGTACTGAAGCAAAATAACACATTATAACAGGTGAACGATATACACCAGGAAAGTGTTGATTATAAATGGTAATCTAGATAAATATGATGGATGCAGATCTATGGAGTAGAAAGTGCTCAGATAATAGGACAATGGAGCATAGGGCAGCGATATCATCTAAGTGCGTGCATATCGTATGAGTCCGTATCCGGGGAATGTAAGTTTCTTTTTATAGATATAGTCAGTTGTGTAAGAGAAAGGTGTGAAACAAAGAAAGAAAAGAGAAGGGCGCATCAGATGAAAAGAGATAGAAAAGGTAATGTCTTAGAGGGGAGGGAGAGGAAAAAAAAAAAAAAAAAGGGGGGGGATCAAGTATTAGGTAATGGCTGTTAAACCAATCATATTGTGATATATTAGTCAAACTAACGTATATTATTCCTTTGATTTAAGATACAGTCTGGTTAGTCTAAATCCATGTAGCAATTCTGGGGGTGAGAGCTTTAAATGTTGTTCGTGCCCCTAAATCTCGTCTCAGTTATTCATAGAAAGATGGTAGATATTGGTGGTTTGAAAATGTTTCCAACAAGCCCAAGTCTTCCTGAATCTCTTGGTGTGCTCCCTTGCCACTGAAATCAGTTCCTCCATCTCCGCAATCCTGATGACCCTCTGAAACCACTCTCGCACAGTGGGAACATGTTCTGATCGCCAGTGGACAGGAATACACTGTTTCGCCGCGTTTATCATATGTAGGGCAAGAGACTTACGATACGTCCGAAAAGGAAGTGAGGAGTGGTGGAGTAAAAATTGTGCTGGGGTGAAGTCTAGGGTGTACGTGGTAACTTGCGAGACTAGGTCTCGCACTTTTCTCCAGAAGGGCTGCAGTAGGGGACAATCCCACCATATATGTAGGAGTGTACCCGTTGCCTGTCGACATCTCCAGCACAAATCCGAAACGTTAGGATCAAATTTATGCAGCAGGGATGGAACTCTGTACCATCTAGAATATAATTGCTTT